CTGAGGAGGAGAGCAAACACCACCCGATCGAAGGCGGTGCAAAGCGGCAACAGAGCAAACAAAAACTGATGGACAAATACTACTCGCAGCAATACCCGTTGGGACCCCTTGGGACGCCTCAGGACCCCTTACCCTTACCCTCCCCTAACAAAAATAAAAAATAAATAAAGTTCAAAAGTGAAAAAGCCGCACCACCACGCGTGGAAAGTCGCCAGCGAAACGCCCCCAAATCGAGCAGCAGCAGCAGCAGCAGCAGCAGAACCCAAAAAAGGGGGGCTCGTTCCTCGCGGTTTTCGCCACGCCGCCTGATCTGCAGCCAAGAAAAATCGCCACGAAAGCAAAATTCGCTTACGCCTGCATTTGGCTTATGTAAAAAGACCGAAACAATTCTATTGTTGAATAAGAGCAGGTGGAGCAAGTACAGTGCGTTTCGTCAGGGCAGGACGGACAGCCAAGAAATGTTACAGAGAATTAATCTTGGCCCAAAAAGCGGCTTAAGATTCGCCAAGGATCTATGCCCAGAAACCACAAGCTATAACATGAATGTATCTATGGATGCAGTACTGCATCTCGCACATACATATACACACACACACACACTGTATGTATCTTTTGCTTCTGTCTGATTTTGGAGCAACAGCGGCCACAGCGGCCACAGCGGCAACAAGATCTGAAGGAGGACCCGAGTCCCGGCCTGGCCGTAAACATTTTCAATGACTATTTTTATTTTGTTGGTTTTTAGCTTTTAGTTTCTTCCTTGCCGTTCCATTGCCAACCGTTCCCGTTTCGTTCCGTTTCGTTCCGTTCGGTTCTGTTTTGCTCCCCTTCCGTTCCGTTTTGCGAGTAAAAAGCAAATCACGCGACCGACTGCGACTGTGACTGCGACTTGCCCCACACTTGCCACCGCCACAGTCGCAGCCACAGTCGCAGCCACAGTCGCAGCCACAGCCACATCCACACAGATGTCGACAAACAGCAGACAATAACGAGAACAACAACAACCACTCATCCCTCATGCCTCATACGTTTGCTGTTCACTTTTGTTGCTGTTGTTGTTGATTTTTTATTTTTGCTAATTTTAAATGCGCTGATAAGTTGCACAAATATGTTGGGGATGTATCTTTCTTTTTATTCTGTATCTTTTTTTGGGGATGCGATGGGGATGGATCGATGCAATGAATGGGCAGGGCAGCAGCCGGCAAAACGCGTCACGCGACACGCGATTTGCAAGCGCATTTGTCGGGGATTTTCGGTTTCTGCCTCTGTCTCTGTCTCTGGTGGGTGGTGGGTGGTGGATGGTGGCTGGTGGGTGTGGGAAAAAGATCTGCCCAATGTGCGACTATTAAAGGGTAGATTTAATTGTTAAGCTATGCAAATGCCATGCCCAATTGCAGATGGTTTGCTGAGACCGAAAATTGGCATTGCTTTGAAATTTTCTTAGCAATTTGCGAATATTTTTTGAATATATTTCAGCAGATTTTGATGATGGCAAGAGCCAAAGATCGGCCAAGGAAGCTTAAGGCCTCACGCCCCAGGCTGGAAACATGAGCTGAAGACGATGCTCTCTGAATATTCGCTTCTATTGCAAAAGTGCACTGTATCTGTATCTGTATCTGTTTCTGTATCTGTATAAACATTGCAAATTGATGCCCAGATGGATCCGAGATCTATCTTTTGCCGCCATAGCCAGGCACAGGCCGCCCCGGCTATCAGCGATCTACAATTTAGATGATGCGTACAAATGCATCGCTCATTTGTGGCAAGAAGCGGTGGCAGAGGGCGCTGATTGCGGCCTGATAATTAATGCATGGCAGGAATGCGGCATGTGCTAATGAAAGGCATGGCGAATGCCACAGAGCACGGGACACGACCAGGACAGGACCGGGCCAGAACCAGGAGAGAGAGCTGGCCAATGGATGGCGCCATCATCGGTGGATCCATCGAAAGACAGTGAGAGAGAGAGGGAGATCTGCTATTAGCTGTCAACTATCAGCTGTGGCGAGAGCTGGCCCAAAAGCACTCACTCTCTCGTTTCCGTTTTCCCATTCATTCGAACGGAAACGGCGGGAACACACAGCCTACGGATAACGATTGGAGTTCGAGTCAATGGGATCGTATCGTATCGCATTTATTTTGCCTACGCTCTTGGCCAAATTAATTTACACACACACACACACACACACACTCACACACACGGATGCAGACACAGAGACTGAGAGACAGAGAAAATGTTGTCTCAGTTTCGGTTGTGGGGTGGGCGAAGCGGAGTTTTCTGCAATTTGACACCTTGTGGGCATTAAGTGCTTCCTCTGCCCACACGCTGTGCGGCGGGGACTGGGGACTGGGGACTGGGGCCTGGGGCCTGGTACTGTGCGCAGCTCTCGGAGGAGGCTCTGGAGGCTGGAGGATGGCGACGCCTCGTCTCCTCCTCGTCTCGTGTGGCAAATGCAACAAATTGGTTGCATTTCGTATTATATAGCTCTGGTCTGCCCCGTCCACCTGCCCCCTACCCCCCTTTCGACTTCTTGGCTGACATGCAACTGACAACCGACGTCGGTTTGTGGCTGCGGCTGCGACTGTGGCTGCTGCTGCTGCTGCTGCTGCTGCTGCTGCGGCGGTTGGTGGCTCATTTTGGGAGGCTGTCGCGACGGCCCCACAGCAAATGTCTTTCTGTCTGTCTGACTCTCTCACCGACTTAACGTGTTCTCCCCCCACCCCTCCCGTCTCCTACTTTGTTTTCCATCTTCTTCGTTTGTCTCGTTTTTCGCTTTTCGTTTTCGGGCCCCAAAGATCATGATATGTTTGCCGCGAGATCCCAGAGATCCAAAAAAAAAAGAAACAAAAAACAAAAACGAAACGAAACGAAATTGCCGCCGGCTCATTGAATGGGTCGTCCGCTCTCTGGGTCTCTCTGCCCCACTGCCTGCCGCCGCTTGTTTCTCCATCTGTATGGATGTATGGATGTATGGATGTGTATCTGTGTGCTGTGCGCTGTGTGTCTGCTGTTTGTCGTTGTCTTTTTACACGCATTCATTAAAAATAAGTTAACAACTTTTTAACACCTAACTGGGCGGCAGACAGTTGAATAAATGAATTATGCTGACGAATGGCGGCAACGTAGGTTGTCGGAGATTGAGAGATGGTAAGAGGGGTGGGGGAAGTGGTGTGTGTGGGGGGGGGGGGGGTCTATTGGCCTGCTTGTTAATCAGTTAAATTAAATGCGAAATGAACAAAACGAATTGGTTGCTAGTTTTGATCGTCCAGTCGTCGTCTTTGCCTCTGGCCTGGTCTCTGGGTCTGCGTGGTCTGTGGCGTTTGATTGGGGACTCTACTCCTCCCCTCTGGCCCACCCCTCAAAGTGGCCAAAGAGAACGGTTGTTGTGGCTGCTGTTGCTGCCGTTGCTGCCGTTGCTGCTACGTTGGCTTTTCATTCATTAACAAAAAAAAATCATCAAAAAGAAGAGACAAAAAACGCAAACCACCGCAGAAGTGTGTCTGTCTGCTAGAGAGGGGAAGAGTGGTGGAGTGGTAGAAGTGCGGTGCGGTGGGGGAACCATATAACGACTAAATTATGCTAAGACTTTGTATAAACAGAAAAAACAACCCGAGAAGTGGGTGCCCGATTCGGGTAGGTAGATAGGTTGTAGCCGGCCCCTACATACGGCCCATACGGCCCATACGGCTGGCTATACGGACACAGTACAATACGAGTATGTGAGTGGGCGCCAAAGTGTGCCATGACTGCGCCGACTGGGCCATCAATGAGCTTGTATGAGAGCTGCTAGCCCATTTACCGGTTACCGATCATGGCCCGAGCCAATTACAGGCCGCAATCTGTTCTGGCGATGGCCATGCAGAGGATGGCAAAAGGATGCAATCCAAGGGAAAGGGAAAGGGAAAGGATTTTGATTTACTATACTCGTATGTATATAGGTCTAAGCCCAAGTTGAACTTGCGCATGGCCTAACAGAACCTGTACATCATCATTATAATCATCAGATGGGGGGGATCAGCAGGGAGCAGCAGGGAGCAGCAGCAGCAGTTTCTGTGTGTAAGACGAGAAACGTTTCAAAGTCGTTGCAACGTAAACCGCAATCTGTTTTTAATTGAAAATGCAACAACAAAGGCACCACAGAGCCCAACAACCAGAGAGAGGAGAGAGAGAGAGAGAGAGCGAGATGTGTGTACGGGGTTCAGGAAGAGGCAGGGGCAAAGACAGGGCCAGATAAAAGTGAGGCAAGCAGGCGGAAAATGGTAAAATGGTAACTGGGGAATATAATAGTGAGATATGTATATATGTACACATATGTAGTATAGGTATAGGTATAGTATGCGGGGCCTTCCAAACAGGAAATGCAGCTAATCAAGCGTGTGAGTTGCAACAAATTGCAATTGGGTCCCTGGCTGCCTGACGGCCTGGGTGCCTGCCTGCCACAGATATCTGTGCCTGTGCCTATGCTGCCTGGACTCTTGCTACGGTTTGTTGCCGGTGTTGTAAGCAGCTTACGGTTCGGCAAAAACAACGACCACGATAGCGACGCCGACGCCAACGCCGACGCCTATGCGTCTGCGCAGGCAGCGCAACAAGCATCGAGCATCGAGCGGAAGGGAATTCCCGTTTTCCGGATTAGCAGACAAGCAGAAAACACACACAAAACAATAAAATAAAATAATAATAAAAAAAAGGGAATCTCTCTCTATGGCAGGGAAGAGGCAGGTCATAGGGTGGGATTAGGGTGCGAGCAGGTCCCGCCTAGGCGTAGACACCTAATTCTACCTGACACCGCGGGCTCTGCCCCGCTTTCCCGCTTTCCGCTTGCGACACGGCGTATGCGCAATGCGGCTGCACGCGGAGGCAGAGACTTATGCAACGACTGTTGTGGGAATGTGATATGTATGGTGCGGGGGAGGGGAGGGCGAACGGGGGAAGGTGATGGGATGGGATGGGATTCTACAATGTTCATGTGTACATGGATAAATAAATAGATCTGTGGACTTACCCGCTGGTCGATTGGATCGCCTGCCCGTGTCGGACTCCTCGAACATGAGCGGGGCATGACGTCGCCCCTCCACCAGGCCGCCGGTTAGGCACAGCAACAGTCCCACGATGAGCAGGTGGCGCAACTGATGGCTCAGCCGGCCCATGGGCCAGCTCTGTGATGCGGATGCAGATGCAGATGCGGATGTAGTGCTGCTGCTGGTGCTGGTGCTGGTGCTGGAGTTGCTGCTGTTGCGAGAGGTGGATGTGGAGGCGGAGGCGGAGGTGGAGGTGGAGTCTGTGCAGCTTTTCCGGCTGTTGCTGCTTTCCAGATTCGGCACTGTGCCCGTCGCTGTGGCCCAGGCCACGCCTCCACTGATGCTGCCACTGCCACTAACACTTGGCCTCTGCTTGTTGGCCATTTCTCCTGTCGTCTGTCGTTTGCTGGGATTCGTTCGTTGATTATTCGCGGATAGTGTATCGTTTTGTATTTGTATTACTTAGTATGTATTCTTTCGGATACAGTTGTTATTTAAGCACGTTTTTTAATAAAAACCACACACAGTAAAAAAATAAATAAACCAAAGGTCAGAGCACACACACACAGCAGAGAGTACTGCTCTCAGGGGGGGGATAGATTGGTGGATTGGTCGATGGGAGGAGGCCTTGCGGTGGGCTTTCTGCGGTGTGGGTTGCCGTCTTGCGGCACGGTATAGTGCGGTGCGGTGCGGTGCGGTGCGTTGCGTTGCGGTTCGGTGTGGCGCGGAGAGTGAGTCGACAACTGTATTGATATAGACTTTTTGCGTAGCGCGATCGATCGCTTCTACTCGATTTTCTTTTCTCTTTTTCTTTGCCTTCGCTTCTTTTCTTTTACTTTACTTTCTGCCTTCTGCTTTTTGTTGTGTTGTTTGGCTTTTGCTTTTGTTTTTGTCCTACTATATATTTCTCTGGCCGATTAGATAACACATGCGAGTTTCGCGCGCCGATTTGGATTTATTTGATTTTTTGTTTTTTATATTTGTTGTATAAATTTTGGTTGTTTTTTTTGTTGTTGTTTCTTTCTTTCTTTCCTTCGATTTTGTGTCTTCAATAATTCGAGACTTTTTCCACAGTGTGTTTCAAGTTAGATACTTTCGAGACTTCTTCAGATACTCTTTCATTCACTTTTCAGACCATGGAAGATTTCAGATCTGAGGGGTACCCTACGTACAAGTTCTATACAGTGTAAGCGAAACGGAACGGAACGTACCAAAGCTAAGCGCGGATCAGATCCGAATAAATCGGATCGGATCGGTTGGGTGGTAGCTCTTTTGTGTGTTACTGGTACTGTTGCTGTTGCTGGCGGTTGGAGTGGTTTACCCCAAGTGCTGTTTTTGGCACGATGCGGATCGCTTTTCGTCGCTTTTGGCTTGCGCTTTGGCTTGGGCCTGGCGTTATTTCAGTTTCAGTTGTCGGCAAGTCGGCGACTTTTTATCTACTAGATAGCTCGCGGTGTGCACTGCCGTGTATATTGCTGGCAGAGCGGCGGCTGCTGCGCGGCGGCGCTCGCTACAAGCTCACTCTCTCGCTCTCTCTCTCTATCTATCTCTCTGTGTGTCTGTATGTGTGTGAGGTGCGTTTGTTCACGATTGTTGTCGCGTGTGTGCCTGTCTGTGTGCTTGTGTATGTGTGTTGTGCGGTTGCGAACGTTTGGTAAAATAATGTCCACACGTATCGGACGTTGGAATAAATAAACTAAAAATCCAACAAGCGCGCACGACGATGACAGCAGCAGCAGCAGCAGCAGCAGCAGAGACAGAGCAGCAGCAGGCCGCCGGCAGAGCAGCAGACAGCAGGCAGCGGGCAGCACTCAACTGAGTGTGAGGGAGATAGCAGGATAGATGGCCAGAGCGCGAGAGCCAAAACAGGCAAAAAATGTTGCAGAGAGCGCGCGAGCGCAACAAAGTTTCGGGCCCGATCGGGCGTTCGGGCCGCCTGCCTTCGGCTGTTTGCAATTTTCCTCTGCTGCTGTCAGCGTCGCTGTTGTCGGACTCTGATGGCTGATACTGCTGCTGTTGCTGCTCTGTCGCTGCTATTGTTTGCAGTTTTCGCAAAATAACAAAATGTTGGCTTAAAACTTTTTGCGTTATCGGTGTGTATGTGTGTGTGTGTGTGTGTTTCTCTACGTGGATGAGTCGCGTGTCGAAGAGATGCTTCGGCGATGACGAACGGTCCGACGTCGCCGTGCGGTCGAATGCAAAGTTGAATGAGCGCAGCGCTGCCCACTGCGCATGCGTGCCGTGCCGCTGCTGCGCATACTTTTGGGGCGCACGCAACATGTTGCAATACCAGGCTAAATGTTGCTGGGCACACTTGGCCCTCTGCTTCTGCCTCTGCCTCTGCCCGCCCTGTTGCTGCTGCAGCTCCTGCTGCTGCCTCAACGTCTACCTTCGCCGCTGTCCCCTTTCAACCCCTCTCCAATCACGGATGGTTGTGCAAATTTCTCTGCTGACAGCGGCGTGGGCGTGAATTTCTCACCTGGGCGTCCTTTACCCGCAGTCTCTCGTCTCTGCCTCTCTCTTTCTTTCACTGTTTGTGTGGGCCAGGGTCTGCGCCAATCGTACGCTCAGGTCCAATGAGACGGAAGGAGGATATTGCAAATGGTTGAAATGGGAAAAAATCTGAACACTAGAAGGTTTTTCCTTCAAGGGGTGCTCATGCATCAAGGGTGCATTCTATAGCAGAGGAGCAAGAAAAGGACACAAATCTGGTGGATATTTCCATTTTTAACCATCCATTACTCTCGCGTATCCTTTTCGCGCCCATACGCCAGATTCTGGGACATATTCGAATAAAGTGCAATAAAATCGGTCAGATTCCATCAGATTTCAGAAACTAGGGACTCATTTTCCTCATGGATACGGCTACCAGTATACACCATCATCACCATCTCCATCCCCATCGCTCATGAGCACACGCATTCCGCACACGCATGTGATGATGATGGTCAGGAATTCTCATAGAAGTATTCATAGGAGACCCATGAATCGATCTTGGAATTCCGACCAAAAAAAAAAAAAAAAAAAAAAAACCAACCAACGACTGACCGACTGCATTCCATGGTCCCTCAAAGATTGATCAAACGATGGAAATCGTCTGTGTGTGTGTGTGTGTGTGTGTGTGGATGTTTTGGCCATTGGTAAGAGTATTTGGCATTCCCGACCATTTTAAAGAGTTTACGAGTATTTGCCTTCGAGGCCGCTGGCCGGAGACACAAGTGCCACAAGACACAAGACAGTCAGTCCCTTTATGGCCGATACACACTATATGTACATACATCATTATATATGGTATGCATACTACAGTCGTGTTCTTCGCGATGAGTCGGGGCACGTGTGAGCGCAATTAAAAACCAGAACAGGCACCAAACAGACAACAGCCACAGCAACAGCAACAGCAACAAAGAATGAACTATATATTAAGTATTGCTAATAAATAATGTGAGAAAATATGACAAGCTGAAAAATACGAAATATGAATTGGAAATGCGAATGCGAATGTCTGCGGACTCAATCCCCCCCCCCCTCCTGTAGAAAACCAACAAAATGACCAAATTTTTGCGGTTTTTTGTGAGAGGTCTTTGGCGGAGGGGCAGGGGCAGGGGCAGGGAGCGGAGGGGCGTTTAGTTAATTAATTTGTTTGCTTTCGTTTTCGATTTCATTATCAACACGAAGGCAGCAGCAGCAACAACAACAACAACAACAAGAAGCGCCAGTCGATCCCATATGTAGACAACAACAATCGCGCGATATCGTTAACAATAATTTCTGTCACATTCGAAATAAAAATAAAACAAATTAAAATAGTTTCTGGTTTATTAAAAGCATAAAATACGAACAAAATGTAAGCCCCGTATGAAATAATATGCATGAAAATAGACAGATGCCACCAGCAGCAAGAAGAGCAGCACACAATACACCAAGAGAAAGGAGGAGACACTTTTGCCATGGCCTGCTTGGATTCACGTGGACCTTTCGTTGTATCCAATGGCTCGCATTTTCTCTGAGTGCAGAAATACCGAAAGCATTAGAGAGCCACCCAACAACATCAGCAAACAAACAACAAACTCAGCGACAACATTATGCCTTGGCTTTCAGCCGCATTTCCATTTCCATTTCCATTTCCATCTGAATATTTCATATTTGATTTTCCCATCGACTCGTGCAAATGTTTGTGGAATTACGAGCAGGCCCAAAAGTAATCCATCGGGCTCTGTATACCCTACTCACTGGCTTCCATCTAGATCACCCTTTTGACGGGGTTTTCTATGCATCACATAATATATAATATAACAACAATAATGCAATTCTGTTGGGGCACTTCTGACATCAAAAGACTTTCGATGATGGAAATGGATTCGGAGACTTTTTTCATTTTGTTGCCAAACTTAACCATCTGCTGGTACAGTTTTTCTTGTACCTGCTTTATGTATATTCTGCCTCAATATTCGTATCAGCTAATATGTCATTCAAGGTGGAAGTCGATCAGTATCGTCCAGAACAGAGCAGAGTGGAGTTTTTGTTGGAAGAAATACCAATATCAAAACATAATACAAAATATTCCCTTAAATTGATATTTAGAAATCATTTTCAGGGTATACCCTGCATCAATGCTGTTCCCCGAATGAGGTGTTCCCTATTTAATGCTCCTTTTTTTCTTCAGCCTCATTTAATGCGCTGCTGGCAGAGCAGCCACCAGCGACGTCGTCGTCATCGTCGTCGTCTGCAATTCGAAATATTCCTATAAATGTTTTGGCCTCACGGCCCCGCCGCAAACAAATAAATATATATTCCCCTCGCCACCCCAGCCCACTCCCCCCGCCATTCACAGATGTGCTACCAAGAAAATACAATATTGTATGCATACACATATGTACATATATTGTATGTATATCTCGTATATGAACAATATCTGTCGCTTGTCTCTACATAAAAAAAAAAAAAAATAAATGTTAAATGTCTGAAACATGCGTACAAAATGCCATTGCAAAAGCCAAGGCAGAAAACACCAACGACACCAATCAACAATCACCAACAAAAGCAGCGGCAAAGCAGCGGGAAAGCAGGGAAAAAGCCAAAAAAGCAACGCTTTTCTAGACGAACAGAAAACAGAGAATTGCTTTTCCTTTGATTTATGTAGTTTTAGCGAGTGCCGTCGACGTTGACGGTGATGCTGCTGCAGCTGCGGCTGCGGCTGCGGC